TCAAAACCTGCCATCAAAATATGTTCGCTTTTATTATTCTGGTCCCTGCAGTTTGTACCACATACCTTTAAAAAAAAAACGCAAACATCTACGTCTTGCCGCCACCAAAAGTAGGGGAAAAGCCCCAAAAGGCGAGTGGGTCTGAAGCAGCTGCTGCTGGGGATTCCCAGTGACGGCGCACCGCTGTATGAGAAAGGCAGGATGGTAATCTGGATGAACTGACTGCACAGACGATGTTTTCAGGTGAACTTTTTACCCACTGATCACAGCAAATATAGCTGCCATTGTTTCAGGCAAAGAAAGGATAGAGTAGCTCCGCCCAACGCGCATCAGACCCACTTCTCCACCGAGCAGGTAGAGCAGTAAAGATGCTTCAGCTACGCGTCAGAACTAAACCTGGACAGGCATCAAAATTGAAACACGTGTGTTTTTGCTGCTTCTGCTGCTTGCGGTCTGAACGTAGCATTAGACCCCGCCCTCCAATCTAGACCTGTGAAGATGCAGCAATAACCAGGTTGTGTTTGTTCTACAGGAAGTGCGGCAGCGGCTGGTCACTCTGAGCACGCAGCTTCACGCCCTGCAGGTCCGATCAGGTTTATCTATTATTCAGCACTCTCTTTGTTGCAGGAAGTGATGTCACTGACCTGTCTGTTGGACTCCACCCCCAGGCTGCAGTGATCCGCCAGGATTCGATCCTAGAACTGACTGGCAATGGGGGTCCGACCCCTCCCGCCGCCCCGGGCTCCGCCCCTGGCCCCCGCCTGGTTCGGTCGATGTCCAGGGATGCAGCACTAGACGCCAGTGGGGAGGCGGTGCTTCTGCGGCGGCAAGTAGAGCTCCTTCAGGAGGAGCTGTCACGGCTGCGAGTAAAGGCAGAGGAGTGCAACAAGAAAGGGGGGGGTTCGGGCAAGAAGAAGAAGAAGAACAAAGGAAAAGGTGACGCCAACAAGGACCAACAGGTGTGTCCCGAAGGGCCAGGTGAACAACGGCGATGATGGTGACGAGCAAAATGGCGCTGATGTCAACCGTGTCTCCCTGCAGGTCAACAAGAAGGCAGAGGAGCCGGAGCCACAACCTTTCGCCCCATTGGCCATCGAGGATCCTGTCGACCAGTTGGACGGCCTGGAGGAGGGAAATGAGGAGGAGGAAGAGGAGGTGATGAAGATCTCTCCACGCTCCGACAGCCCCAGAGGTTCGTACCAACAACCGACCCTTAAGTTACCGATCGCTGCTGCCTTACCAGTCACCATGGTAACCACACGATGTCACCCTCAGACCTGCAGGACATCCCGGAGGAGATTGAGAGCTAACCTCCCGGCTCCGCCGTGGACCTGGCCCGCGTGACGTGGTCAATGATGTCGCCGTTGCTGCCAGAGATCCGCTGACTGTCGGACTTTTTTCCTTGAACTTTGTTTTTTAATTTTCTGTTGGATACAGGAAGTATAACCATGAGACCTGTTTACGACATCATGTCTGCTGGAAGGGAGGGGAGGGCGGGGGGTGATAGAGAGGGAGGGGCTTTAAAAGGCTGAGGTTATTTCTGATTGGAGGCCTGGTTTCAGGGCAGGTGGGCGGAGTTTGTGTGTTTCAGTCCAAAGTCTAGAGTCTGCTTCAGAAAATCACTTCAGGACATTAGTCCTGCTGATGTCTGCTGAAATCTGCTGGGAGGATTCTGGGAGGATTCCTGGGAACCGCTGGGATAATTCCTGTTGATATCTGAAGGATTCCTGGGAACTGCCGGGATGATTCCTGTTGATCTCTGAAGGAATCCTGGGAACCTTTCTAGTAATTCCCAGGAAGTCCTGATAAGATTTCATAAAAATAACTGAGAGGAATGCTGGGAATTACTGGAAACGTACCTTGGGACTCTCTTAAAGAATTTTTGGGAATCAGTAGGAGGATTCCCTGGAATCTCTGGTAAGATTCAATGGAATCCCTGAGAGGAATTCCTGGTGAGATTCCTGACAATCTCTAGTTGGGTACCTTTGGGATATCTGGAATGAATCCTGGGAACCACTGGGATGATTCCTTTTAATCTCTGGAGGATTCCTACGAACCTTCCTAGTAATTCCCAGGAATCCCTGTTAAGACTTCATGGAATCCCTAAGAGGACTCCTGGGAATTACTGGAAAGGTACCTTGGGACTCTGTAAAAGAATTTTTGGGACTCAGTAGGAGGATTCCCTGGAATCTTTGGTAAGATTCAATGGAATCCCTGAGAGGAATCACTGGTGAGATTCTTGCCAATTTCTAGTAGGGTACCTTTGGGATATCTGGGATGAATCCTGGGAATTACTGGGAGGATTCCTAGAAAATTCATTCTAGATTGATAGGAGCCTTTATGAAGGTACCTTTGGGATCTCTGGGATGAATCCTGGGAACTGATGGGATGATTCCTTTTAATCTCTGGAGGATTCCTGGGAACCTTCCTAGTAATTCCAAGGAAGCCTTGTTAAGACTTCATGGAATCCCTAAGAGAAATCCTGGGAATTACTAGTAAGGTACCTTGAGACTCTCTGAAAGAATTTTGGGAAATCAGTAGGAGGATTCCCTGGAATCTCTGGTAAGATTCAAGATTCAATGGAATCCCTGAGAGGAATCACTAGTGAGATTCCTGACAATGTCTAGTTGTGTACCTTTGGGATATCTAGGATGAATCCTGGAAATTACTGGGAAGATTCCTAGAAAATTCTTTCAAGATTGATAGGAGCCTTTATGAAGGTACCTTTGGGATCTCTGGGAGGATTCCTGGGAACTGATGGGATGATTCCTTTTAATCTCTGGAGGATTCCTGGGAACCTTCCTAGTAATTCCCAGGAAGCCTTGTTAAGACTTCATGGAATCCCTAAGAGGAATCCTGGGAATTACTAGTAAGGTACCTTGAGACTCTCTAAAAGATTGTTTGGGAATGAGTAGGAGGATTCCCTGGAATCTCTGGTAAGATTCAAAATTCAATGGAATCCCTGAGAGGAATTCCTGACAATATCTAGTAGGGTACCTTTGGGATATCTGGGATGAATCCTGGGAATCACTTGGAAGATTTCTTGAAAATTCTTGGAAGATTGTTAGGAATCTTTATGAAGGTACCCAGGGATCTCTGAGAAGATTCCTGGGAACCACTGGGATAATTCCTATTATTCTCTGGAGGCATCCTTGAGGAACACCACAATCGATCTGTTTGAAGTTCCTTAATGTTTTCCGAAACCTTTTGGGTGGTTTGCAGAGGAACCGGGAGGTTCCCGCGTCTTCCAGAATCCTGGAGTAAAGGTTTCAGCAGTCTTCAGCAATAGACCTCCTGCAGGACCTTTGCTTGAAGCAGGAATGTTTTTCTTTCTCACTCAGCGCCAAACATGAGACACATAAACGGTCACCACACTACAATACCCAGAAGGCCTTTTGAGCGTCAGTCTGATTGTCTTTGTGAACTTTATTTAAACAGAAGTGTAGTTTTAGAGACATTTGATTCTGTTTGTTACTGTCTGAATTATTAGCTTCAGAATCTCTTAGAGTTACAAATGAAGCCAAAAAGTTTGTATTAACCTTAAATGAGCAGCAGAAAGGGAAGAAGCAGTTAGAGTCTGGGACTGGGAGAATTGGGGGGGGGTTCTGGGGACCTGTTGGGAGGACTGCATGACATCACAGCTGCTGTACATTAGCACAAACGCATGTTAGCATGGCTGTATCTTTTTTTTATGAAAGTTAAAGGTAAAGTGGAGGATTTTTGCGATTAAAAAATAAAAAAAATGCACATGCACAACCCTGTGCCCGCTCCAGAGAGGGAATGCCTATTAACGCGTGCGAGAGCGCGCTAAAAGTTGCTGTTTGCATCACTCATAGAGGCTTACTTTCCAAAAGATTTGCAATTTTTTTTTCCACTTTGTAAGACTCACCACTGTAAGTGAAAAAGTTGACAAGCTCCTAGTTTGGCGTTACGTAAACATATCACCAGAATGATTGACATTTAAGGGGGACCAATTATTTAAAAATCCACCCGGAAAAAGAACATCCTCCACTATACCTTTAATTAATCAACTTGTGTCAAAAATATTGAAGATAATGATGATGCGTGTCGAACACGCTGGGATTTTTTTTCCACATGTGACAAAAAAAAAGTTTAAGCTTATTCGACATAACTCGCAGAAACTTGAGCATCTGCTGCAGCCAAGGTGCTGAGACCTGCAGCGATATAAACAGCCCATAATGAACACTATGAACCTGCTGATGGACACAAAATGACTCCAGCTGCTTCAGCTGAAGATCAGGATCAATGTCGTTAAAAGAGAAAGTTTGACCTTTTTATTTTTCAGGGTCCAACCGTTTCGGAGCGTTTACAGAAACACCCGGGTGTTCCTCCCTGTAAGCTCCAGATGTTTCAAAGGCTGAATCTGTGCTGTAACATTTCATTAACTGATTGCTGATCTGTCTCATTGATTACTGCTGAATATATATATAAAGATCATCAGCTGCTGTTTATTCTGCGTTTTTATTGGTTGGATGTTCTGGAATTGTGCTGCTAAGGTAGCAGTTGCTCTGCTAGCTTGATTCTTATATTATTTTTTTAAGTTTCTTGGTTTGTGAATCAAGATTTTTGCCAATATCTTTATTATTTTTATATTTGTTGAGAGGTGTAACCATAGCAACAACATCAAGCTGGTTTTCTGTTGTGGAGACTTGGATCTACTCTGCCATCATTGGCAGGGGGAGCCGAATCAACGAGCAGATAATGAAAACCCGGCTCTGTTCTAGAAAGTCTTGAATCTCTAGAGATGACTTCAAAAAGAAGAATTATTTATAGAAAGAAGAACATTAGGGATAACAATAAGCATCATCTTTAACAACAGCAGAGTGTCTTGAGTCAGAAGCTACTCCAGATGTGGTGAAAGACAGACCTCTACAGTAGATCTTTCCTGCTTCTAGCTATTAACACCTACAACTCTTTAAAAAAAGCAACAGATCTATGAAGATTCTCAGTCGTCCAGGTCTTGGACAAGCTTGAAAAGTTCAGTTTAGGCATTTTGACATGACCTCGCCTGTTCAGCCAGGCCAACTATTCCCTTTAACGACCCCCCTATCAGAGATATAGACAGGTAAGGAGCATTTGAGGCTAACAAGAGGCCAATTGACCCCCATTCCAAAGGGGGGGGACACGTTCGTCCGTTTCTATTTGCATGTTTTCTAAACAAAAGCAAGGCTTTGTTGGGCTACTGTGTAAAACCTCGACCTCAACACTATTTCTGACATTTTGAATTGAAAAAGCTTCCTAGATGGAAGAGAAACGTCAGAGATTATGAAAACTAGGTCCAATGGATTGTTTTTAAACTTTTTTTGGACTGACTAGGACCTACAGATCCTTCCTGCCTCCAGCTATTAACACCTAAAACATATCATTAAAAAACAAATCTGTGAAGATTCTCGGTCGTCCAGGTCATGGACAGGCTTGAAAAGTTCAGTTTGGGCATCTGGATGTGAACTGTTCTAGAATATATTCTGCCTTTAAACTTCATGTCCAGTTGCCTAAACTGAACTTTTCAAGAGTTAAAACAACATCCAATTTCTCCTTTGGGATCAAAAACGTAGTTTTGAGTTTAAATAAATGGATAGATCAACACATTAAACCAAGCTCACATTAATCTTTATAACACATCTCTAACAACTTGTTCTCGTTAGCTGCTCCCCAAGTGGATGGCTTAAATGCAGAGGTATTATTATTAGTGATTTACAGAGTTCCAATGTTTGTTCATATCTATAATTTAGAGAACTCCTCCAGCTTCTGGTACCCATTTTTTCCATCAATGATCTCTAAACTTCAATTCAATGAAAGTTTATTTCTATGGCGCCAATTCACAACACGTCATCTCAAGGCACTTTACAGTTCAACCAGATCACCAAGTTTTCTATTTAAGGAAAACCAGCTGACTCATTGACTTTTCAGCAATCCTTCACACTAAGCATGCTTGTAGCGACAGTGGACAGGAAAAACTCCCTTTGAACAGGAAGAAACCTCCAGCAGAACCAGGCTCAGTGTGAGCGGCCATCTGCTGAGGCCCACTGGGGTTCAANATGAGAAAAAGCAGAGAGAGCAGAACGTTAGAGATTGAACTAACAGATTCTGCAGAGTGGGAGAATAGACATAGAATGAAGCAGAATGATGAAAAGCTAACTTTTAAATCCAAGACAAAAACAATCACAATGATGATGCAAAACATCACCATTGTGACTATGACCTGGATGACTGAGAATCTTTACTAGCATTTTAGGTATTTTTATATTTGTTTTTTTCACTGCACTGTAAAATTCTTACTGTTGTGTTTCTAGTTTTTGAGGTCTGTCCAGGGACAGCAGATGAAAAAATAGCCTTTTGGCAAATTCTGGTGCATTTGCAGGAATGCTTATTAATGTACACTGCCCCTGTCAAATAAATCTATAATCTGAAAACTATGGAAGTAAAACAGTCTTATTGTAATCTGCCTTTTTTTTGTAGCACCGTATCTTAAACACTGATTTTTTTTTTTTTTTTTTTTTACATGTTTTCATTGCAGCTGACTTTTTTGCAGGCAATTTTTTTTTGTAGCTGAATTTTTTTGTAGGCAAATTTTTACCAGATGTAAATTAAGTGTAAGGAATTCAATGTGTAAGAAAATTCTGTGTTTAAAATACAATGTTAAAAAAATTAAAAAGGGAGATTACAATAGAAAACCAGTTAAACATCCAGTCAAGTATTTGCCTGCTGTTGAAGAAAAACTGATATTTCACTTGTAACGCAACCTTCTGGCTCTATTTATTAAAATCCCTCCCGGCTTCCGTCCTTCATCAGAACATGTTGAGGAAGACAATTCCGTGTGTGGCCAGCAGGGGGCAGCGCCGTAGCTCCACTCTCGACTCTATTGAGCAAGGAAGAGCAGGTGACGTCATTTCCAGTGGAGGGAAGTTAACCCGGAAAAGGGTGTTGGCTGAGGTAGGTGAGGAACCAGAACCAAACCCGAATCTGAGCTCTAGTTATCTGGACTCGTAGTTAGAGCCAGAGTTTGGACCGGGACACCGACCAGCCGAGACCGCAGACATCTTATCAGTCCGCGGAGCCACAGTTTGACAGCCCTGTTAGCCGCTAGCTGCTAACCGTCCGGTAAGTCCGCAGACGGGAAGGGGTTGCAGGTACATTTCAGAACTTCTGGGCCAGAAGCTGAATACTAAAAGCCAACAGGGGAGCCCAGAACCGACCGAGCCGGATCAGACGGGACGGAAGTGACGTCGTCCCATGCTGCTTTTATATCAAAGTTTGTAAAGTTTTGCTCATATAGAAGCGTCCAAACAGCTCTGAATGCAACCTGACCAGAAAATGATTCCAGGTGAAAACATGAAATCTGACACATTTACAACTTTAATTCAAAAGTTTGAGCCGAAACTAGCCGAAATATTCGGGCAGGCAGACAGAAGCGTGACGAGGCAGCTCAAACCCGCTGGTTCCGGTTCTTCTGAGAGGATGTTTCCCTGCGAGCTGCTGCCCATCCAGCCCTTTTAACGGCCCGCGGTGACCCAGCCTGCTGCTCCGCTAAACCAGGCTGGGTCCGGTTCCTCAGAGCCGTTTCCATGGTGATAAAAGGCAGCACGTGTGTTAATTAAAATGTAAAGGTCAGGATGAAACGGTTGAGTTGCTTTGAAGAGGAGTCTGATTGGGTCAGCAAACAAGTGAAAAACCAGTTTAATTACTTCAGCTCTGATTTATATTAACAACTAAACATCACTGTAAAAATGTTAAAGTTGTAGGGAAGTCTTATTTAAATGTCAAATAATCCTGACTTAAACTTCTATATAAATGTACTCTTTATCAGATGATATTGTCCCAAAATTTAGAAAATTTCTATTTAAAAGAAAAATCTTGTCTTTAAATCTGTGTTTTATTCGTTATCTTCTGCAGGCCAGTTAGTTCTACGTCAGCCTGAACACCTAAATTCGGCCAATCATATATCAACGCTCATCTGTCAATCAAATTTTTCCAGTCATAGCATCTTGATTCATATGTCGCAGCTAATATGTGTCTTCGGCAGGCGTAGAGCTAACAGAACTGGCAGCGTTGCGAGGCAAGGGCTCAAACATGTACGGCTGGAAGCCTTCTACACCAAACCAAGCTTCTGCCGCCCTGGCGTCCTCTTCCACAACATCTTCGTCCCCGCTTTCCTCCTCTAAATAAAAAATGGATGACGGAGGAGACTCATCCACGACCTCCGACAGAGTTGACGACTTTACGAGAAGCAGAGTTACTGCAGAACAGAACATGAACATAACGGAGCTACTTGGGTGTTCAAATTGCTCATAGAGAAAACTTTAAGCTCCACAGGTCCAGTAGAGCAGAATAGAACTTCTGCAAAGATCAGGGACAAAAGACTGAGCAGCTTTTAGAGATAAAGGTGACATTTGGAAGACATTTTTAAACCTGTGGCGCAATGAAAGTTCAATGAATAAAACCTGCGTAGGTGAGCTGCAGCTCGCCTTTCCATTTGCAATGAATTTGTCAGAACTGCAGCTTCCACCTGGACCAGCAGTTCCCGTCTGTGAAGAAATATGCAGTGTGAGAGGTTTCGAAATAACCATGGCAACGGTGATATGCTGCCTCCTCGCCACGAGGGGCTTTTCCAGCCAAGCACCAGCTTCTGAAGTGACGATGACTCAAACCTCCTGGAAATAAAACGTCTGTTTTTAGTTCTGAGACGAGTCAGATGTGCAACGCTAACTTTTATACATCGTGACTCCTGGGCAGTGAAGTGTTTCTCATGGCGTTGGTAGTAATCTTTCATGTTTAATCGCAGAGTGTAAAACATAAAAGACCTGAACAGTTTTAGTCCCGTCGTCGACCAGAGTCCTGGTTGACATTAGCAGGGTTAGCAGTGATCCAGAGTAGGGCTGGGTAAAAAGATTGATTTAATCGATTTTGAATCATTTCCTTTACATTTTTGCAAATTCGATTTCTAGGGAATGAGATTGATTAGTACATGATGTTCACATTCAAATGAGCAGGAAAGATGCACTCAAGATTACCTCAAGCCAGACAGCTGCAAATATACCCAATAGGTTGACTGAAGACATTAACGAACGGGGGCTGAGCAGTATATGCAGCTCATGCATGTCTGAGTGAGTGAGGCTTCACTTTTTCACTTTTCACAAACAAATTTGCACTTATGAGACAGTTTTGTTCACATCTCAAGTTTAAACTAGCTGATTTACAAGTTTGTGTTTTAATATGACAGGAAAAAAATAAAATACATGAGCATTTTGAAACACAGTTGAACCACTTTCATTATTGCAAAAACAGATCGAATCAAAATTAATCGATTTAGAAATGTATTAATTAGGGATGCACGATATAATCGGCCCCCTATCGGTATCGGCTTTAAAACTGAATATCGGACATCGGCCACCCCACCGATGAGTTTCTAAAGTCGATATTTGATCAGCTTCTAAGTTTCTAAAGTCTAAAAAAAATAAATACTACTTCTTCTTCTTCCTCAAAAACTTCTTTTTTACAGACTTAAAAACTTCTAAAGACGAGGGAAAAAATATTGATCCATTAAAATATCCCAATATCTTCATATGCTGATATATTGCCATTTAATACCACCATCTAAATAACCTTTACTAATGAAACATTGCTATATGTCAACGTTATGCTACGAAATCCCCCG